TAAATATTTGTTTATTAAAAATAAATATTGATAAATTATATATTAATATTGATAAATAAATATATTAAAAAATGATAGATAAAATAAAAAGGAGAAAAAACAAATTATGAAGAAGGAGAAGAAGAAGAAGAAGAAATAAATGAGAGAGATAAAAAGGAAAAAAGAGAATATAAGATAGAGAAGACATGATAAGAAAGAGAGAAAAAGAATGAGATATGAGAGAGAAAGAGGGAGAGAAAAAGATAGAGAGAGAGAGAGAGAGATAGATAGAAGAAAGAGAGAAGCAAAAAGAGTGAGCTAGGAAAAATTGGGGAAATAAGTGAGAGAAAAAACTATATGAAATCTCAATAATTTTGATAAGATTATTAAATGAGTAAATTATATGCAAATTTTACTAAAAAATCTTACAAAATTCTTCCATATATTAAAATAATCTATTCAAATTTCAATGTTATTTTAATACTAACAAACTTTTTTTAAGTAAATTTTTTTTAATTAAATATCATATCAGATTTTGACATATTTCTAAAAAAAATTATTTATTTTATTTAAATACTACTGAATTTTAATGTGCTATTTAAAAAATTCCAATTATTTAATTGAGCACTACATGACTTTTATATTAAAAAAATCTTAATTAAATATCATAAAAAAATAATTTTAAAAAAATCTTAATCCAATTTAATCCTAAATATTTGAACATAATATTTTAATAGATGCTACAAATTTTAAAACATTACTCTCGGATATTATTAATTTTAGTAAAAATTGTACTATCATATTCTTTTACAATTTTATTCTCTTAACAATGAGGGTGGAAAAGATAATATTCCTATCAAAATACGGATAAAATTTTCCAACACTTTCACTTTCATTTTAACATTTTTTATTTAAATTATTTTAAAATTTAAAAGCAATATTCTTACAAATATTAAAGTTTAACCAAATTCTTTTTAAATATTTATACTATTAATAAAAAAAAATTACCCCATTTGATATATATCTACATTTTTTTAAAAATAATTTTGTTCTTAAAATCATCACTTTAGCAATTCTTTCCTTCTCTACCATGTTTTCAAAAGTAATCCTTATAACAACATCTACCCAAAATTTATTTACACTATTTTATTATTAATTGCTCACTTTTATTTTAGTATTTAAAAGTACTCAAAAGTATGGATAGTCTTTAATACTTATAACCAAATACTTTCAAGTCATTTGTATAAATAACATCACCTAATGAAAAGCTTATTGTACAAATTAATATTCTTTGCACTGAAGTTCCATCTATACTGCATGCAGGGCTTATTATGTTGGGACATCTTCACTAGAAGAAGACCTAACAATAGGAGAATGTTGCATCTTTAGGGGCAGCTTCTCAAAGCTTGATATCCAATCTGGTGCCATTTTGTGGCAAACATTCATGTTGCCTGATAATCATGGCAAAAAAGGAGATTATGCTGGAGCAGCAGTTTGGGGAAGTAGCCCTTTAATAGATGCCTCAAGGAACCACATATACATTGCCACCGGAAACTTGTATTCTGCCCCTTTGCACACACGCCAATGTCAACAAAAAGAGAATAACTTAACACAACCCACTCATCCTGACGAGTGTGTTGAGCCAGACAATAAGTCTGATTCAATTCTTGCCCTAGACTTGGACAGTGGCAAAATCGAATGGTTCTACCAATTGGGAGGATATGACATATGGTTCCTTTCGTGATCCAATTTGTCTACGCCTAAATGTCCACCTGGTCCTAACCCGGATGCTGATTTTGGGGAGGCACCGATGGTGCTCACGATTGATGTAAATGGAACAAAACAAGACGTTGTTGTTGCTGTTCAAAAGAGTGGTTTTGCTTGGGCGTTGCACCGCGATAACGGCAGGCTCATTTGGTCTACGGTAACATTTTTAATTCCTCTATACTTTTTTGTGCATGATCCATGTGTTGGTTTTTATGAGCCTATAGAGTAGGCAATTAATATATCGTGATATACAGGGAGAGAAAGAAAGAGATGTTAAATATTAATGAAGTGTTTGATTTGTATAGGAAGCTGGACCAGGTGGGGTTGCAGGAGGTGGAACATGGGGAGCAGCAAGTGACAAAGAAAGGGTATATAGTAACATTGCAAATTCAGATGGCAAGAACTTCACTCTTAAACCATCGAACAAGACTACTACTAGTGGAGGGTGGGTGGCAATGGACGCAAGCAGTGGCAAGATCTTGTGGTCCACAGCAAACCCTAGTAATGCCACTGCTAGTGGTCCTGTTACTGTAGCTAATGGCATTGTCTTTGCTGGTTCAACAAATCAAAAAGGACCTATTTATGCAATCAACGCTAAGACTGGCCAAATTCTATGGTCCTATGAGACTGGATCCACAGTGTATGGTGGCATGTCCGTCAGTGATGGGTGTATATATTTTGGAAATGGATATAAGCTAGCTATTGGATTGTTTCTTGGAAATTTTACTTTTGGTACTTCACTTTTTGCCTTTTGTGTCGTCTAAGCAAAATTCTATGTATTTGGTGATGGAAATAAAGAAGCATGATCCCCATCATGTCATATTATATTTTATGGTTTTTAAATAAGAAAGACTCATAAGGAGCACTACAAGAAGTTGGAGTGTTGGACCAACATAAATATTTGTAATAATTCTATTGTCTCAATCTTTTTGAAACGCATATAATTCGTTGTATGCTTCGATATTTCATAAGGCTTATGATGGTACTATGTATTATTTACATATTTTTTTCATCTTTAAATCCATAATATAGTATATACAAGTAGATATTTTCAAAATGGGATAATTTTGGGAAGGTAGGATATCTACAACTTGTCTTAAAATATTATAACATAATTCTTTTTTCATACTATTGCCTTGTACAATTAATTTGTGGCAATATTTCATTCTTAGCTTAATTATTTGCGGATTGTTGTATATAGAAAATTGCAATTTTGCAAATTGGAAGGCGCAAAGATTCTTAATTTCCCAATGATTGTTTAATTGGATGCAATAACATTAATTAGTCTCGATATTCATTTCTTTTTATTCTTTTTGTTAGAGATAGATCTAGATGCCACATTACTACAAAATGTTATTTTATATCGTCTTTTTACATCAGTCATATAGTTGTCACTTAAGAAATGATGCGGTAATATTTTCCAAATTTAAAACAATTTCTTTTACGTTGGTTCTAAAATAATGGTTATACTTGGGTCGTAAAGGCCCAATTCACTTTTTGTGTGTGTGTGCTTGACGGTTGTTGTGCATTACGCACTTTTTTTTGTTGGATCGATATATTAGGTTGGGCTATATATGTTTTGTTATTTTCCCGTGATTTTTTTTTGTTTCTAGGCTTATACTCAAGAAAGCGTCAAAGGCCTATTGTCTGGGTTTATATTCCTTATACTTGGGTTACAGAGGCCCAATTTAGTTGTTTTCTGTTGGATCAATGTGTTGTTATGCATTAGGCTTTCTGACTATTTTTTTTTCTTTCATTTTCACGAATATTTAAAATTTTAATTGCGTTTCTCATTTTAATCAATTTTTACGAAGAAAAAATAACATGATATTCTGAGAATAAATTTATCAATAGGAAAATTTCAGTAAAGTCGATTGCAGAAGATTTATGAAGATAAGGTTTTAAATTTGATAGGTTAATGTTCGAATCATCACTCATCTCTTTGGAGGTAAATTAAATACAAGTTCTTCTATAAGTATTTTTTTATTAAAAAAGCATGTATTTTTCATCAAAATACAATTCTTTGAGCTTGATAAGATTATTATGGTTTATAAATTTTTTTACTTCAAATACTTAACACAGTTATATATTTGAATTCAAATTCAAGCTATAGTCAGAACTCAACACTTCTAGTTAGGTTTTTTTTTTTTTTTTTTTTTTTTTTTAAAGTCCAGACAATTTCTCTGTCTTAAATTAAGGGGCGTCCTCTGCTCTCCTAAATTTTGTTTATTTTAAAAAAGTGTTGAAAAACTTAGAACACATAAATTGGTTGACTTGTGAGCACGTGATGACAAATAAGTAGTGCCTCCGACGGGCCCACTAATGTGGCGAGCCCGTTCGGCCCAACATGGCCTAGTCAGAGTATCATATAAACTGTGGCCTGAAGCCAGAAATAGGCAAGTGCTTTGTTGCACTCTTACCCACTGCCTTTCATTATTCCCATTCATATCTTTTTAATCATTTCTTCCCCTCATTTTCTTCATATAAACTACTACAACCTATATGCTTTGATCCTTATTTCTTACTGAATTCCTGTGCAAGAAAAAATGACCAAGATCTTTGTATTGCTGCTATGTCTGCTCTTAGCTCCTTCTAGCTTTGTCAATTGCTCTCTTGAGAAGCAAAAGATAGGAATATTTGAGCTCAAGAAAGGTGACCTTTCTTTGAAGGTCACCAACTGGGGTGCATCAATTTTGTCCCTTGTGCTTCCTGATAAGAATGGTATGCTTCTCATCACTGCTCAAAACTTCAAATGTTGATTCTTTTAGCGCCAATTTTGGTTTGTTTTACTTCTTAATTTCTCTGTGATTCGTTTTCAGGAAAGCTGGGTGATGTTGTTCTTGGATATGATTCAGTTAAGGATTATACTGTGAGTCTACTTTGTACTTTTTCTCCCAAATATTTTGTTGCATGTATTTGTTAATTATTGTGTTTTTCAGACTTTCATACCTTCTATGGTTTTTTTTTTTTTTTTTTGGGTGAAAAGCTAGAATATCCTCGTTGTTCAACAACTTGGATTAGTTCAAACATGTGATGGCTATTAATATTTAGGTTTCAGAAAAATAATGCAAGGCTAAGATTTGGACTATAGTTTGTCGCTTCCTCACAATTTCCTAGTCACCACTTCCTTCCTCATATTTTTGTCTTATTATTTTATTATTTTCTTGTACACCTAAGATACATGTTCTTAGATTAATTTTTATTTATTAGCGATATTAAACTACTCTAGTAGTGATAATCAGATTTCACCTTTGATGAACTATTTTGGTATTGTTTTAAAAAATTTAACGACAAATTAATATGTACATATCTTTGAGTTAAAAGAGTTTCATATTTATTCGTTTTGTTTACTTTGATGGTATCATTTTGTTATTTGTTTAAGGTTATCGGTATTTTTTTATATGTATGTGAGATAAGGATATCTTTGACGTTTATGTCAGTTCAAAGAAAAAAAGGTCCACATGTTTTATTAATTCAATTAAAAGGGGTCCACGTCTAAGTTATGCTTTGAAGGTTGCGTTTGATAATTTTCGTTATCGCTTTTGCACTTTGACATTTCTTTTCATCAATTGGCAACATATAAAAATGTATCGCTTTCTATTATCTAATAGTTTATCCCTTCTAAAAGTAATGACGAGTAGGTGTGTTGGCATACACATTAAAGTGTGTAGGTTAGAACTGAGGAAATGATATCATGTAAATGAAAAAGGACTTCTGCGATCCCCGGGAATATTGGGGTTGCAATGATGTCCAAAGTCCATGCTATGGGACATGAGTTGAAATAATGATTTTTTTTCTTTTTTTTTTCTTTTGCATAAATCTTTAATGTGTATTAATCATATTTTTAGTTAATTAATTATATATTAATACAATATTGGAGTAATTATATATAGGTTGAGTATGAAATTCCTGATCATGTCTTAAATAATAATGATATTTTTACACTACTAATTTTTAATATATTTCCATATTTTTGTAATAAAAATGAAGAAAAAACGTTTCCTATTTTTTTTAAAAAATAAAAAGTATATGTTTCATAAAAGTACAGTAGTTTTTTTATATTATTATTTATTTTTTAGGTTCTAAAATAAATAAAGTAGAATGTTTTTAAGTTATTTTAGTTTTCTGCTTTTCTATTAGTATTTTATCTTGTACATAATACAAAATAAATGTTTAATTTATATATTTAAAGTATTTAATAAATAAAAATTAAATATATAAATTAAAAATAAATAATTTAAATTGTGATATAAGGTTTGTAATAATTATTGATTTTTTTAAAAATATTAAATTCAATTTAAAGATAGAGGTACAAAAAAAAGTAGTAGATTAAAATGGCACACAGTTAAGAATATAATTTTACAAAAGGACACAAAGATAGTAGTTTGAGATGATTATTTAGGGAAAAGTTGTTTGGCTTGTTGGAGAAGTAATATATATAAAGTATACATTCAAAGGAAAAAAAAATAAGAAAAAAATAACTAATTAAAAGTAGGAAGAGCAAAAATATTATTTTGAAGTTCTGTATTTGAATTTATAACAAAAATATTATATCCGTGGCATTGTTTCTTATACTTTTACATTTTTTTTCCAAGTTTCCAAAAATAAATCATTATTTGTGGCAATTTGTAGAAAGGACGCACTACACTAGTGACTGGTAGTAGGTGAAAGCGGTAGTGGTACATTTCACAATACACCATTTGAGGGCACTGTTACTAAAAGTTACATGGTGGAAGTTGGGACGAAGGAATTAGAACATCACAAAGTTTTCTTATTTTGTTTTATATCTAACTTCTCACGTATAGTGGATAAATTCAATTGTACCTGAGTTATTGCATGCCAAACTATCTGCAGAACGATTCAACATACTTTGGAGCTACTGTTGGCCGGGTTGCTAACAGAATTGGAGGAGCTCAGTTTACTCTTAATGGAATCCATTATAAATTAGTTGCTAATGAAGGAAACAACACACTTCATGGTATGTTTAACCATAAGTAAAACCTTAATTAGCAGAGAATTTATACCATAGTTTTACAGTCCATTTACCACTGTACCTCATATTCAATGTACTCATAGTCCTCTGCCTGTCCTACTAATTAGGTGGATCCAGAGGTTTTGGTGATGTTCTTTGGACAGTGAAAAGGTATCAAAGGGAAGGTCCAAGTCCCAGGATTACCTTCAGTTACCACAGTGTTGATGGTGAACAAGGTGAACAATATGCCATTATTTTCCTTGCTCCTAAGTAGTTAAAGAATTTGTTTAAATGTAAACAACTCATTTTAAAGGGTAGATTATGTAATATCAGCTATTGATAATAAAATCAACGGTTAATGTGTTATATATATATATATATATAACAATTAGTCGATAGTTTGAATGATATTGAATATGATTTCTTTAAAAGAGATCTCGAATTCAAGTCTCGTAAACAGAAGAAAAAAAAAACACATAATTTGAATGAGAGATTATACTAAAGATGATTAGTTAGATTCTTTAACAAAGATTAATTATTGACAAAATTGATGAAAAAATTCTATACCAATAATATGGTTAATATATATATATAGAGAGGAGGATCCGTTTACTTCATGATAGACTTACTCTGTTTAATAACTCATGTTCTGCATTAAATTTTAACGATTCAACCGTTAAATTTAAAGTTTTTAATGCATAAATAAAGTCTGCAAATTTTTAAAAAAATTTAAAAATTATTTGATACTTCGTTTCATTAATTCAAATCATTGTATAAAATGATTTTATGATTATCCGTCAATTTAAATTAATGAAACGAAGTATCAAATAGTTTTCAAAATTTTTAAAAATTTACAGATTTGATCTGTGTATTAAGAATTTTAAATTTAATAATTGGATCATTGAGATTTGATATAAAACATGAGTTATTGAAGAGAGTAAGTCTAGGTAAACTTATTCTTAAAGTAAATGAATCCCTCCTTTTATATATATATATATATATATACACACTTGTATAACATGACATGAATCAATTGGAATATCAACCGTTGATTTTCTCGTTAAACAACCTAGATTACTTTTTGTTCAATTTAAAGGAGTTAAATCTTTAGACTGTGATCACGTTATTTATGTAAGTAATTTTTTGGGTTCTCCGATTGTGTTTCAGGATTCCCTGGTGATCTCATAGTAACAGTGAGCTACATTCTAACCGGGAAAAACCAATTGGCTATAATCATGAATGGAAAAGCTCTAAACAAGCCAACTCCAGTGAATTTGGCCAACCATGCTTACTGGAACCTAGGAGGCCAAAACAGTGGCAATATTCTGAATGAGGTGGTACAGATCTTTGGTTCCAAAATCACAGTTGTTGACAGCAAACTCATTCCCACAGGCAAATTTGCATCTGTGAAAGGAACTGCTTATGACTTCCTTAAGCCACACACTATTGGAAGCAGGATCAACCAACTAGCTGAAACCAAAGGCTATGACATCAATTATGTGCTGGATGGTGAGAAAGGCAAAAAGATCAAGCTAGCAGCTACAGTGCATGATAAGAAATCTGGGAGAGTGTTGAAGTTGTACACAAATGCTCCTGGTTTGCAGTTTTACACTGGTAACTATGTTAAGGATCTGAAGGGGAAAGGTGGATATGTGTACCGTGCTCATGCAGGACTATGCTTGGAGACTCAAGCATTCCCTGATTCAGTGAATCATCCTAATTTCCCTTCAACAATTGTCACCCCAGAAAAGCCTTATAAGCATTACATGCTTTTTAAGTTTTCCACCAAAGCTACCTATTAGTTTGAAGAGACATAATAAGAGGAGTGAGATTTTCCCCCATTTTTAATGTACCACGGTAAATCAGTGTAACATCTGTAACTAGATTTCATCCAAACTTGGGGCCCATACAATGAATAATTAGAGTCCCATGGTTAGTCTCAGAACCTTTCAAGATGTCTTGGTTCGGATTTGTTGCTTTTCAGTGATATTTTGATTCCGTATGACTGTTGCAGATTTTTTTTTTTTGTTTATATACACGTGAATTATTTTTAGTAAGAAAAATCCTTCTCTCTTATGAGGTGAGAAAACCAATCTTCATTGCATTTTGATATTAATACATTACATTTTGTGTCTAGTTCTTCTCCCCACCTCTTGTTATAGAGAGCAAGTTTGTCTTTGTGATTTTAGTTCCAAATTTCTCTTTAGTTTTGTTTATTACGGATATTAATTAACCCCTCCTACCTCGGTTAAAACTTTACTTTTGATCATTGAAGCACCGATATATTATTAGTAACTAATAGAGTTTTTTTATATCAGTTAAAATAGGTGCTTTACATCAGTTGCAGAAGTGATGTAAATGATACCGATGTAAATAGAAGTGACTTTCTATATTGTTACATTTTAACCGATGTAACCAAAAACACTCACCCCGCAGCGAAATGATTGAAGAGAACAGGTTGAAGAGATCATACCTCGTTATTACTATACTTGGTGTGATCTGCAGGGTCATAATATTGAAGGTTGTAGAAATGACGGAGTAAACCCTAAATCAAAGGAGTAGAAACCATCATAGTCAATAGAAGCAACCCCAAATGCAACGGTACAACTTCTGGTATATCTTAGAAATGCTTTTAAATTTGTATCCAAACCGACTTTAAATGTGAATGAACAGTTCTTATTGAATTTTACTCATGGAATGGAATACAAGAGTGAAGAGTATTTATATGCAAGAGTTAAAGAGCAAACGGGAGAAAGAATAAAGATGCTGCTATAATAACTCCATAGGACCACATGCTAAAGCAAAACATGCTAATTACAAGCTGTGACTGTGATTAATTAACATGTGTATTTGTTTATTTTAATCAAAGCTTTTTTTAAAAAAAATTAAAGAAACAATTATTTTCTTTAAAATATATTATTTACCAAACTTCTTGTTATTTGTTTTCCTATGGAGAAACAGCTGTTGCATTGAAACAGTCAAAATTGGAGGCGATTATCTCGATAAAGACCCCTTGTGTGCAACTGCATGCAATGGTCAAGAGAATTTAGTCAACTTATTGGATGAATCATAATGGTTTTTTTTTTTAATTAACTCGCAACACGGAGGTGTTTGATGTTAAAAAGTGCAAAACCTTCATCGTAATTCCTATTATAAATATTTATCATAATAATCCTGGCTAATGTATCTATACTTAAGTCATTGACCATACATAATCATCTTTAATTGTACTATTTACTGTATAGTCATGGTTTTATCAATCCCCAATTATATGGTGGTAGTAGTTTGGTACAATATACTAGTTATCCCTTGGACTTGTGTGAGCATTGCAATTGCATCAGATACAGCATCTGAATCGTCAGCACTAGATGCAGAAGCACACGCTCTTCTTGAAAGTGAGTGGTGGAGTGGCTACACTAACCATGTTCCAACTCGGTGCCACTGGCCAGGCATTGCATCATTGCATGCAACAGTGCTGGAAGAATAACAAACATTTCTCTCCCTTCTGAACTCCAATTGGGAAACAAGTTGGGGAGATTCAACTTTTCTTGCTTCCCAAACCTTGTACACCTCAACCTTGCTGCACATGGAGTCACTGGGAGCATTCCATATGGACTAGGTACCCTTTCCAAACTCACTCATCTCGACTTATCCTCTAATGATATAAAGGGAACTATACCATCAGACATTTGAAATCTAAGGAATTTGGTGACACTAAACTTGGCTAGAAACAAGCTTAGTGGTTCACTTCCACCTTCTGTGGGTCAGTTGTCTAGGATTAACTCTCTGATTCTTGATAGCAATCAGATTAGTGGGCTTATCCCCGTGGAATTAGGAAAGCTGAGGAATCTGATTCAATTGGGTTTAAGTAATAATAGTTTTATTGGTCCAATACCTATGGAGATTGGTCTATCGAACAATTTGATATATTTATCCATTAGTTGGAACAAGTTGAATGGTTCCATACCTTTAGAAATAGGGAATTTGAACAACCTTCAGATTCTAGATCTTAATAGCAACAGTCTCACTGGTGAGATACTCAGTCTTGCATAATCTTACTAAATTGACAGATCTAAACTTGTCCAGTAATGAGATTTCTGACATGATCCAACATAAGCATACCCAATTGACCCAACTGAAGTATCTGAATATTTCAGATAACAAATTTTTTGGTGCAATACCTGCTGACGTTGGAAAACTGTCTAAAATCATTGTTCTAGACATGTCTAGAAACATATTGACAGGAGAAATCCCAGTGAGAATTTCTTCGTGCTCTAAACTGCAAATGTTGATTTTGATCAATAACAAAATAACCGCAAATATTCCCTCTCATGTTGGCAACCTTGATTCACTTGCTTTGATTGATTTGAGCCATAACTCAATCAGGGGAGAAATTCCATATCAACTTGGGAGTGTGAAATACTGTTAGACTTCTTCGCTAGACTTAGGTGGAAGTGGTCCTTGATTGGTCTTTGGTATCTCTCAAGCTTTCACCTTAGGAATCCGTGTAGGTAGCTTTTAAATTTTGCAATTTAATTTGTCTTTAGTTCATATTTCGTCTAGTTTATTCATCACATCAAAAATCACAAAAAAAATATTTTCATTGAAAAAGGTTTTAGGTGAGGATTAACTACAAGGGGAATTAGTAATTTTTACTTGAAGAGGCTTGGTTATTATGTGGCTCTTAGTAGCTCACCTCCCTCCAAATTTCAATTTGTATACTTAGTCCTCCAAGTACTTAGTCTTAACCTTTAAGCTGCTGGCGGATGGAATGATTAAATCCAAGGAAAAGAAGAAGAAGAAATTGGTTGATGATGAGCTGTGGGAGAATGACGATGATGCTGAAATAAGTAAATTCATACTCAAAAAGCGTGAACCTCAAGGAAACAATAAGGAGAAAAATGATCCTGAATCGTGTTGTTATGGCTGTAAGATGCCTCCTGAACTGTGTTTTTGTGGCTGTGACATTGGATTTGTAGAAGATAAGCTTCTGGCAGATCGAAAGATTAAATTCAAGGAGAAGAAGAAGAAAGTTGTTGAAGATGAGCTGCAGAAGAATGGTGATGATGCTGAAACTAATAAATTCATTCTCAAAAAGCATGAGCTTCAAGGTGACAAGGAGAAGAATGATCCTGAATCATGTATTTATGGCTGTAATGTTGGATTTGTTGAAGAAAAGCTTCTGGCAGATGGAAAGAATAAATCCAAGGAAAAGAAGAAGATGAAGAAGAAAGTGATTGAGGATAAGCTGTGGGTGCATTGTGGTGAAGCTGAAACCAGTAAATTCATACTCAAGCATGAGCCTCTAAGTGGTAACAACGAGAAGATTGATCCTGAATTGTGTTGTTATGGCTGTGACATTGGATTTGTTGAAGAAAAGCTGCTGGAAGGCTGTTGATATTTTTCTAAGTTCAATGCTGGTTTGTGCAATGGTATATCACATATAATCTGTTAAATGGGAGAGTAAAATTTATTTTCCTTGTAAGTTTTACAGATTCATGATTATATGGATGCTTATTGTTTTAATCTGGCTCTAGTGATTTGTCATTCAACAATCTGTCTGGACAGGCTCTAGTGCTTTGCCTGGTTGATGGAAAGGCTGATGTGTACTCACTTTTCATGCCCTTTCAATGATTTTGATTTATAATGTAATTTGTATCACATGATCCATATATCATATAATTTTAAAGTTACTGATTATTTCCTTGCTGCTTTACTTAGAACTAAGTGCAGCATAACTTTTTTCATGATTTAGATTGGGATGGACAAGGACTCTTCCTTATGGATGCTGCCATGCATGAATACAGATCTCATAAGTTCACTTAGCAAAAGGGGAATCTTCAATGTACAAGAATTACTAGACATTCCCAAAGCAACATTGCAAACTGTAACTGCAAATTTTCCATTTGCAAATTTTCCATCTTCAAGATTGTATCAGCTTATTGGATTTATTAGTTTATGAATTTATGGTTTGCTTTATTTTTATCCTCTGTTCCTACTATAGTTTTCGTTGACTCTGTCCATATATTTTTGGAAATCATCACTATTTCTCTTATTAAGGATTTGAATTCAATCTAAACTATTTAATGTTTAATTTGACTTTTAAAACATGAAATGGAAATATTTTTAATGTTAATAGTTGTAGTCAATTTTTTCTCTTCTGTACTTTTAGAACTAGTTGAGTACTCTTGTTTCAATTGACTATTTGAAACTGAAAAAACAAAAACCTGAAAAAAGATTATAACAAAAATAAGGCCCAACTCTACTGGTTTAAATAGTTGAGAAAAAAAAGAAAAAAAATG